CTAATGTCATGTGAAGTGTAGGTATGTATGTATAATTCATGCAAGTATTATGTATAAGTTTAATGTCATGTCATATCATGTATGTAATGTTATGTTTCATGTATGCATTATGGCCTATGAACACCCAGGTCAACCATTAACATAAGAATCTGTACAGAACCAATGTCAAACTGGAATAGCCCTTGTATGGCCATGTAAACTTTTTCATGAAGGCTCAGTAACTCCCGGTGCGCCCTTGTGGGACCCCAGGGAGTTCTTGTATCTATATAGGGGAGGGCGTGGGACATATGCCTGTTTACCTCCGTTAAACACCAGGCGTCCCCGTCCTCCGTCACCTGTCACCTGTTTTAAGCAGGCCCTCAGAGAGCTTCAGTGCCCAAGAAATCTATTTCAAATGACAACAGACTTCCTCAACAACAGAAAAAGCCTTATCATCTATAACAATCAAGTCATCACTAAACAGCAATCTCGAGGATGCCCACAGGGGTCATGCATGAGCGCGAACCTCTGGAACATCACCTTCAACAATATTGGCAACCACCAATATCCAGACCACACCACAATAGTCGCATTTGTAGATGACGTCGCCTTCGTAGTAAGAGGAAAACCAGAGATTAACTTCAGCAGCACTGCAATCACACCCTAAATATCTTCAGTGAACTATGCAATAACATAAAACTCCAGATTTCCCACAGCAAATCACAAGCTGTCATCATCCATCATCCATCATCCGGACAAACTATGAATCGCCATCCTATCATAAAGATCAACAATCATAAAATTAAATGTCAGTCAATTACCTAGGACTAACCATTGACAGAAAATTCACGTGAATGCAGCATCTCCAAAACAAGATACAGATCACCTCAAAAATAGCAAATGCCATCAGAAATATGAGAGGCTATACATGGGGACTTCATCACCACATCATGAAAATCCTACTCCAAACAGTTATCTACAAAATCATTACGTACGGAGCGGCGCTTTGGGCACTCCCCATGACTGAAAGGAAGAAAAAAGCTCTCAACGCCATCCTACTGAAGTTAACACAAGCTTTCAGAACCACCTCCAACAATGCACTACAAATACTGGCAGGGGAACTCCCACTCTCAGTCATAGCAGAAATAGAAGCTCATTCAACAACAGTACTCCAGCTAAAGAAAACTACCACATTCCAAGACACAACCTTCTACCTTGACAAATATGAAGCAAAACCGAATAGATATTTCTAGCACCCAGCTCTTGGACTCCCAAACCTTCAGTGTAACTTTAACTCCCCACCTCCAATACTACACAGCATATACTGATGGTTCTAAAATATAGGAGAAAGTAGGAAGTGGAGTCACCTTCCAGCGTCTTTCAACTACTATCCAGGAATGGCAAGGGGACCTACAAAACCAAAACAGTGTTCATCAGGCCGAACACACAGCCATACTCCAAAGCATCCACACCCTACAGCAATTGCAGGCAGACTCGATCCACGTTATTACAGACAGCCAGTCCTCCATCTACGCAATCAAGAACCAACACATCAATTCACCCATTGCCCGGAACATCCAAAAAATCATCAGCAACTGGCCGTACAAACACATCCTCTCCTGGACAAGAGGACACAGTAATTGCGAAGGCAATGACCGTGGCTATTACCTTACCAAACAAGCTGTTCTGGAACAGGTCGGAACCCTCATCACTCACCCATGACCCAAGTCTAGCATTAAAATGAACCTTAAGAAACTTGCAACAATAAAATGGCAACACAACTGGAGCCAAGAAGGACAAGGACGCCGAACATACTCTCTCATCCCAAAAGTAGACACCACCAGATCTATCACCAACTACTACCTCACACAATATATCACCGATCATGGAACATTTCCTAAATATTTCCACGAAAGAAATCTCACACAATCCAGCATATGCACCTGCGGCGAGGAAGGAGACGCCGACCACTACATGTTCCACTGACCACTCACAGAGGAGCACCACATCCGACAGTCCACGGATCTACAACTTCAATTTAAGAAATTTCTCATCAATCATACTAAAGTCCACCATCAAATCAAGAACATCATTGACAAGTTACACCGCATCGGACTAGACCTTTGCCACCCCTAGACGCCCATTATCAACTACCTCTGCCAAACACAAGATCGGGTGCTCTCTGAAATCACCACTCTCAACTTAAGCAAGCGCCATTCCGTACCAAATGCTCCCTGTGAAAATCACTCAGTAACCTCAACGATTACCATCCTCCATCCCATCAACACTTACCTTGCTACTACTCCATTACGAATGCACAAACCAGAGCACAACTGTGCACCGTAGTGAACTTGTGAAAAACTGTGATACACTATTGAACTTATGAAGTAATGTGTATTCATATACCCTTACGAACTCTGGTGCCTCATAATGAACTCCACAAACCACCCCGAACTCTCACAAACCTCGAATGTACACTAACACGAACTGCAAGTACATAACAATTATTGTAAATAGCTCCACACTTTTCTCATAATAATTTCTTTCCTAGTATGCTACCAATTGTAATAAATACCTGTATCTACCATATCTGTCTCAAGAAACTTGTACAATACCTGTTTATAACGAGCTCTGCAATGTACATCTCCATGTAATGCTCTACAACCATGAAATCTGCAATGTACATCGCCCTGTAACCCTCTGTAACTTTCAAATAGCTCAATAAACTCGCGTCTGGTGTGACCAAAGGACAAACTTTTCTCGAGAAGACGTAGGTCCGGTGGGCGAATGAGCAGAGCTATATCAAATCGTACACCACCCACCTTCCTGATCTATTCCTGAACTTGGGAGTGGAGTCCGGCCTGCGGGGCCGTGGCCTGGTCACTGGATGGGGGACCCTGGCGGGCCGTTCAAGCAAAATCCAACACCTTGGCAGACGCTAACACCTGCGCGCCGGGCGCCGCGCTGATCTGCCCCTGTCGGGTGGAACTTTCTAGATGGATAGCCTGACGGAGCAAAACCTAATCTGCCTTTGGCGCTGCACAGGTGCTCCCCATGCGCTTTGCCGTATGAACAATCTATACGAAGGGATGCCTTCGTATAGATTGTTCCTACGGAAATTGGCTCATATTCTTGTGTACAAGTGTGAAAACCAGAAAAAAAGAATCCATGCAGCCAGACTGTATGCAAAAATTAGATCTTGAGTTTGAAGTACCAGTATTTAATGGGGTTATCTACTGGGTGGTTAGTGGGCTGCCGCACGTTGGCTGCCGCGCGCATTTGACGTGGTTTGCTCATGGCGCCAATATGATTTTGTTTTATTATGCGATGCATATTATGTTGAAATATTATCTACGGAAGATAAGATGTGTTATATAAATGTGTTTAATGTATTTTTCGTGGTGGGGGGTCACCGATGACCCTCGAGGCGCTGTAGATAATTTTTGCGATTTATTATTCTTCAAACCATTATAGTAACAATGGTGTTATTTAAAAATTTACCAGTATCGATATTTACTCTAATTATGTATTTTTACTATTGCTCGCATCGCCGGTCACCGGTGACCCCCGCGGCAGTCAATGTGTTAAGGAAGTATAATCGCCTAAAAGGTAAAACCAGTTTAAAATCAAACAGGTAAGAATAGTCGTTCGGTTGAAAATGTGCAACGTGTAATTTTTCTTGAATGGAAGGTTGCAAGCGCCCTATCTATCAATGGAAAGAAAATATCTCCTTGTGACTCTAGGGATAAATGGTAAAACCTGTAAAATAGTTCGTTTTAATATCTGGTTAATCAAAATTATCCGCTAATAAGCCTTTAGGTAATTACTTTATTTCCAAACCCATTTTAAATTAATGGGTTTGGAACCTCAAATCCACTTTAAATTAAATATTACCCATTTTAATATTCATTACTTTATTTCCAAACCCATTTTAGAAGCACCAAATTAATTGTAGACACTTTTTTAGGAGCAATAGGTATGAAAAATTATCTTTACGCTGTCCTGAATTTATATTAACGATGATCCACTCGCTAAACCAACGTGTTACGTGACAAGAGTAGGGGGGGGAGAAACACGATGATTCTCTTCACAATAAGGAAAGCAAATAGGCTTTTCTAAAATTACGCAGGCCCACTAGCGGCCGAGCGGTAAAGTCGCTGAACACTGGTAGTTCGGTCCGAGGTTCGAATCCCGCGAACGGGCTGGCTGCATGTGTGTTTTCGTGGTTTTCCCCATGTGTAACGTGTATACGAGCCAGTTTCCCTTAGAAAGTCCTCCACGAAGGCATCCCTCCCCTTAGGCAGATAGCCCTCGAGGAGCTTTGCCATAATTAAATAACCTAACCTTTATTAAATAAGATATTTTAAAGCTAAAGTTAATTAAAATAGCTAATATATATATATATTATTATTATTACATTTTATTATTACATATATATATAGGCTCACCAGCGTCAAGCGGTTAAGTCGCTGAACACTGGTAGTTCGGTCTGAGGTTCGAATCCCGCGAACGGGCTGGCTGCATGGGCGTTTTCGTGGTTTTCCCCAATGTGTAACGTATATACGAACCAGTTTCCATTAGAAAGTCCTCCACGAAGGCATTCCTCCTCTTAAGTCAGATAGCCCTCGAGACTTTGCCGTAATTAAATAGCCTTAGCCTTTGTCTAAAATTACGCAAAGCCTCTCCGAAGAGTAATATATCTCCTTGCAAAAATTTTTATTTTATTCTTGTAACTGAGCTACTTTCAAAATTTTATTTTTATGTCATAAGATCACGCAATTGTTATTGGCGTAGTTAAATTAATCTAAAGTACGCTGATGGGGGTTTAAGCTTCTGTGTATCTTCCTTGCTCTTAATTAATTGTAAATTAAATAACTTTCAAACTTTTTCGTTTCAGGGGCATCGTAGTTCAAGTGCAAATTCGGATTAAATTTTTGGAGTTGAATATTTACGAATCATTACTTCTGTTCTTTCAAATATCATGCCTTAAATTCCACATCATCGTAAAACAACAAACTTACTCGCTCGTAGAATTACTTCTCTCTTCATCTTCGTCCACTTGCTCATCTTTTGTAGTAGATTCATCTGGGAAAATAAAAATTGTAACTTAACTACTGAAGTGGTTTCGTGTAAAATATAAAAGATATAAACAAGTGCAAAGATATTTCAATTTGTTCTATTTAAAACAACCGTTAAAAAAAAAAAAAAAAAAAAGTAAACGTTTTATAAATAATCAGAAAATACAAGAATGATGAAGCTCTAGAGATTCATTAAAAATATATAAAATTTTAAACTAAATTTACTGCAGAAGTAAAAATAAATACAGTCAGAAAAAAAAAATAATAACCTGAAAGCTTACAGATTTTATATTACTCCCAAAGGGGCGTTTTTTTAACGTTTTGTGCACTTCTTTTACTTACTAAATATCATGTTCTTCGCCCTTAAACCATAAAATTCAGTTCAGCAGCAGCATCACAAAGCAATTTGAAAAGAGCATAGCTTTAGAATGTTCGATACACAGTCTCGCGCGCTGGAGTTTATAATTTGTCTTTTTTCGTACAGTGATGCCATTGCTCCCTTTGAAATCGTTGAGTTCCATAGTCAAAAATTCTTTAATGTTTTACAAAATATGAAATAGGTAATAAAACAAATTCCAAATTTGGGCTTCCAAATGGAGAAATACGTTATTTAAAATTTGATGTCCCTAGACATCGTCGTTTTTCCACAGTGCGAGAAACGTATACACATTCATGCAGATACTTCATTATTTAATTTATTTAAATATAATGCAGGGCTTAAATATTTGGTGGCAACAATTTGAAAACTGAACCGATATTTACAGTGAAGTGACGCAAAATGCCAAAACGAAATTAATAGCCTTTGTGGGCAAATTGGCGCTTTTGGCTAATAAGATAACATTTGTGTCCCTACTTCAAAATAACATGCTTGAAATTTCAATATGAAAGCCTGGAATTGTTCTTCCAAATTGCCGCTGGTCGTTAGATATTATGAAATCTCTAAATAATGAGTTAAGATTAGCGATAAAGTATAACTTTTAAATGAAATAGTTCCAGATCTCTAGTAAGGGACAAAAGTATTGCTGATTAAAAACTAATAATGAAACAAGAAATATAATAAAAAATTTAAAAGTCAGTTCCTACTTAAGTCAACAAAGAAACATTTAAAAATACAAATTTTTAATTAAGTTTAAAAATTTTTAATATTTTTAATTTAAAAATTAATTAAATTAAAAAAATTTAATATGTGAGAAAATTGTATTAACATCAAGTGTCATCCACTATAAGTTTATAAAATTGTATTTGAACTTGAGTAGATATATAAAAAGTATTTTATTAACGATTGAAAATTAATTAATTTTCACTAATCAAAACTATTAATTAAATGAAAACTATTAATTAATTAATAGTTTTCATGTATGCATTCGTAATAACTGGTAGTTATTTTAGTATTCATAATAACTGGTAACTGTATGTATTCGTAATAACTGGTATTTATTTTAGTATCGTAAATATTATATATATTATTATTTATATATTATTTATATATATTTATATATATTTATTAATAACTAGTATTTATTTTAGTATTCAAAAACAGCGTTAGAGGCGCCATCTGAGAAACAAATAACTAACTAAAACTGTAGGTTGCATACTACATCGTTACCGTAACTAGTAAGTAGTACAATGACATGATTGGTACACATAGATTTAATATGCTAGAGTTTCTAATATAGAACTGATCTTTAAAAAGAATTTCTAAAATCAGATTCTCTCAAAAATTAGTTATATTTATCTATGATAAATGAAATATTTAAAATAATAATTCAATCTATCTTATGTTTTTAAAACTGGACATCACCAAAAGTTCAAAATTATAAATTCCGATTTTAAACGCCTAAAATACAGACGGATTTATGTTAATATTTTGTAAATAATAAACAAAATATTCGATCATTTTAAGACGTAGCCGATTGCCATTATTACGTCCTTCATACATTTTACGATGACGCGTAACAAATTAGTTTAATTTAAAAAAAAAAAAAATTATTAGCATGCTACGAAATGTAGAAAAGACTCACTACAGACAGCAGAAATCTATGCGCCAATGATTAATTTGCTAAGGGCGTAAATAACGGAATCAATGAAACGTCAAATGACGTCATTTCGTCAAATACCCAATGACGTCAAATGACGTCCTCAATGACAAATCAATGAAAAGCCTGCTTCTCGTCTGTGGCAGCACAGGTTTCGAAAGGTTAAGTACGGCAAACACTTTATCGGCTAATGGTAAAAGAAAATTTAACTCAGTTACTCCAGAAAAAAATTTTTCCTTGTTCCGTTTTCAGGAAACGATTTCTCAAACTATAGGGCCCTCGTGGAGGACTTTCTAAGGAAAACTGACTCATATCCAGTGTGCAAATACACGAAAACGCCTGTGCAGCTAGCTAGGTGGGGAGGGGCGAAGAGTCGTTTTGAACACAGTAAAGACTATGCTAAAAATTATAGAGGATTTGCATTCGTTATTTCTGTCCCATTCAGAAACACAAATATTAAAGAATATTAATATATTACCAATTGATATATTTTTCATAAGACACTGCATAAATTTTATACCATGAAACTCCTGTATAAACAATAGGAACCATTGCTTACGCATCACCAATCACGTCAAGAGTCACCAGGACCATTTTATTAAAATGGTACCACGGTTAGATGAGGTTATTTTAATATAAGTTTTGGCTTAGCACTCTTATTTTTCAGAGAAAATCGAAATTCATGTGAAATCTTAATAATCGAAGATAACTGGTGCAATATCCGGTATAAGTAACAGAAGTTTACCATTACTCTCTTCTGGAGTGATATCATCGTTGTTTCCATCATTCGTTATCTTCGCTATGACAGCTTCGGCAATTGGTATCATCATGGCTGTTGCTGCCGTGTTGCTTATCCACATGGACAAGGTCATTGAAGTTAACATGAAGCCTAGCATAAGCCTAGAGTTAAAAATAGCACCATTAATATTAAAAAATAAAAGACGTATGATACTGCAAATAACTAAATAGCATTACAGAAACATTTCATGCATCGAAACATAACTTGTTTAAAAATGAAGATGATTATAAGTGCTTAAAACAAGTGTAAAACGAGTTTCTTTTTTGGACTTTATTGTTGTCTTTGCCATCATTTCTATTTTCGTCAGCTGCCACCAGGATCCAAATTCGTTTCTTGAGACTTAGGCACAAGTAACTTTGCAGGTCCTCATCAGATGGCGCCACATGCTCATTTGGCCATCTCGGAAGCATTACTTTTCGTTACATTCATTCGGTTGGCCAAAATAGTGCAACAAATAAAATACCCAATGCTCCTGACTTTTGGTTACCTATCTTTATCGAAGATTTGTAAGTCCGAGGTCCGAGTATACCACCAAGAAGTGATAGAAAGTTAATCTATATGATATTCTCATATAATATCTATATCTTATAGATATATATAATATCTACCATATAGATTCGAGAGGTCTATATGGTAGATATCATATATAGATCTCGCGAATTTGAAATAGCAGCTGATAGCATTAGCTGCTATTTCAAATTCGCGAGATAGATATAAAGAATACCATATAGATTCGCGAGATCTATATGGTATTCTTTATATCCGAACGCGCAGCCGTAAAATTGCAGCTGAAAAATTGAAAAACAAGCTGTCGAAGTAGTAGACAAAGCATTGAAATTCACAGGCAGGATAAACTGGTTGAGGCAGGTAATGAACCAATGGTGGGCAACAAAGTATTAACGTAGAATGGTAGAAAAGGTATTTTACTAAAGATAAAACATATCAAGAGAAATACTCATAATTTTGCATCGAAAATAGGGAAAATCGAAAACTTGAAATAAAGAATTAAAATATATTAAAATTATATGGAATTGAATTATTATGAACTTATTATCTTCCAAATTGATAAGATATCTTCCGATATGGCAAATAACACAAATATCTTATGAATATTTACCGGAGATTCTCTGACGTACGTTAGTCTGCCAGCTGTGATATTAATTGTATTAAAAATGTAATAAAAAATACATAATATTTATTTCTATTGTAATTTTGAAGAAATATGTAACAGTATCTTAAATGTCTTCAGAACTTGTAGTTTGAGGTTTAGCACTTCCTGAATTTCGTTCTTCAGGTAATCGTCTGCGATCAGCTGCTATTTCAAATTTACTTTTATCAGAAGTTTCAGAAATTTTAGTTGAAGTAGCAGTAGGTTTACTATCAGGTCCTCGAATGCTGTCTGGCTTGGTAGGTTTTTTCCGAATTTTTAAGTATCTTCTCCGCAAGAACTGTGAAGATAGCTCCTTGACTTTGCATCCTGGCTAGGTGCCTGGCCCACCTTGGTCCTTTCTGAAAAATAAGGGATTTTGGTACAACTTTTTAAAATTGGCTGCTACAGTTGCGCACTTTAAATTCTGAATCCTCTTGACTTCGCATTCTGAGCTTCTATGGCCATTAGCATATTCAACACACCTCGACATGAGTTTGCACTCAGCGGAGAACTGGTGTAAATGCTGGCAATTGTGGCATTGAGACACACTGCTTTTGAGTTTGTAGTTATCAAACCGATACAGGAAAGAACATTAAATATGTGACATCATAAATATTCTCTGCTGCAGGCTTATTTACTAACTGTACTTGGGATACAACGCCTGGCGGGGCCCTCATGAGCCCTGTGGAATGTATATCTGGATAATTAGTGTGCCTGGACAACAGCCATATTGCCAATGGTTAAACAATCAAAGTCCACCATATGCATATCCATAACTGTAGTTGGAATAGGGGCATTTGAAAACGTCTACGAAATTCTATCATTACGCACACTTTAATGAAGTTGAATATCTATTGATAGATGGCGTGTGGGTAAAGAGAAGGTATATAGTATTTGGAAAATTGGGTATGTAATAAGTGCAGCTGATTTTAACATTTTTCTTTTACTCTGTTTATTTTTAGTTTTCGGTTATACGAAAATCCAGCAACAATCATAAAACACTTTGAAAAACTTTCTTTAGATTCTTTTGAACTATGTTCTAGGATTTCTTTCTCATCTTTGATGGCATAATAGATCTCTTTTTATTGCAGTCGTTTAAGCAGAGCCAAGATTCATCTATTGTGATAACATTTTTTTTTTCATTTATGTCCAGCTAAATGATTATCATAAAGAATTCTGCAGCGTGTTTAGTATTCGGCGATATGTAGTGAAGAAAGAGGATGAACACTTAAGATTCGAATTAGCATTAATCACTTTGTTTACGGTTGACACTGAGCATTTTAATGATTTTGCAACTGTCTTTTGACTTTCAAGATTTTCTTTTAACATTAAAGACCTTACCTTTGCAACACTCGAAACACTTCGTTTATATATATATATATACAGGGGTTGGACAAAAATATGGAAACACCTTTAAAAAAACATGTTTCTTTGCTTAATATGGTGTAGGAAACCCGTTGGCATCCAAAACAGCTTGCAGTCTTCTCGGAATGGATAAATACAGTTCTGATGTTTGCCAGAGGAATATTATACCTTCTTCCTGCAAAACGGTGGCAAGTTCAGATAACGATGTTGGCGGTGGATAACGCAACGCCCTTTCCGTTCCAATGTAGACACGAAGGTTCGATAATATTCAGGTTGGTGACTGTGGTGGCCAGGGAATGGAAAACTCATCCTCGTGATCAGAAAACCAGTTCTGGACAATGTGAGCGGTGTGAACAGGGGCTTTGCGTCTGGAAGACACCATCACCATCGGGGACAAAGTTTGTACCATGGGATGAATTGATCGGCAAATGTTCCATAAGTTTGGCAGTCATGTGCCCTGACACAGTTATCATGGGGTAGCAGAGAACACGATATGGCTCTAAACCAACAAACCCCCGCCATGTTTCACTTGGCAACAAGCAGTCTGTATTAAGGCTTGAGATGGCGTTCTCAGACGGTAAACTCGGCAGAAAGTGGGAAACAATGTGAAGAAGACTCGTAAGACCATATTACTCGCTCCACTGCTCTATAGTCCAGGCTTTATGATAAACATCACCTTTTCATGTTACGGGCATTAGCTCACTGATGAGGGTCTCAATTGCCAGCAGGCGCCCTTCTAATTGTTTGGTACTCACAGGTTCGGTACAAATTCATTTCACAGTAACTTTTGCGCTGTGGTCCTCTTTTTTCCCCAATTGCCCTTAATGATCGTCTATACGATCACAGGACACCACTTCGTCCGCGCTGTGCTTTAGCCGATGATGTTTTTCGCTTTTCGAATATGCGGAATAAATCTTCGATACAGTACCTTTGACCTAAACCACCTCGGCTACCTTGCTTACGGAAGCACCTACCATACTTGCCAAACAATTTGCCCAGTTCGAGTCGTTAACTCTGACATATGCAATGACAACCATAACAGTACTCCGACAACAACTGAACTGTTTAGCACATTTACGAAGTTGTATAGGTGGCGTCAGTAGTCAAAAACGCCAGCGCCACCTACATATTCATTAAAATCAATCTTCTTTTCAAACATGCTTTTTCACAAGGGTTTCCATTTTTGTCCATCCACTGTATATATATGTATTTGCAACATTTTTTCCACTTGAAGCCAAACTTTTGGACTTTTCCACCCCCTACTTGTTGATAATACACTGCAAAACATTCAAAATGCAACACCAAGAAGGAGTGGTCAGAAATTTATGCAAAGTTTAGAGTAGACGCACGTCATTGAGTTATGCGAATGATGTGAAATGCGCAGCTCTCCGAAGCTCGTGAAGTAAGATATAAGGGAAGGAATGTGCAGAATGGGTAATATTCGTGTCGTTATGTCTGCCAGACAAATTATCGAAGAAAGTAGGTTTTTATCCCGGAGGATAGGTGTCATAAGAGAGAATGCCAGGCCGCCGTCAACGAAGCCCTTCCAAGATAGAGATTTACGAGGGTATGGTGATCGGACTGAGAAGCGCGGGTTGGTCCTTACGTCAAATCGCAGCTGATACCTACATGGATGCGAGCACGGTGCATCGGCTTTGCCGAACAGGGTTGGAACAAGGAAATGTGGGAAGAAGGAGGGGTTCAGGTGCAGCCAGAGTGACTTCAGCACGCGTGGATCGACGCATCCGCCGACAAGCTGTGGCGATCCCGCAAGTCACTAGTACCGCGATTCTGCAGCATGTGCAAGATACCCTGAAAGTTCCCGTGTCGACTAGAACCATTTCTCGACGATTGGCAGAACGTGGCCTGCACTCACGGAGTCCGTTAACAAGACTGCCATTGACCCTACAGCATAGACTCCAACGTGTAGAATGGTGCCGGACTGGAGCGATGTGGATGACAGAATGGCGAAACGTCGGGGGGGGGCATTATTCTCAGATGAGTCACGCTGGCAGTAACTGTGGAACGCCCCACCACGCGACGACGTGGCATAATGGTTTGGGGCGCTATTGCCTACGATTCCAGCTCACCTCTAGTTCGTATTCAGGGCACTATGAAGGCTCATCGATACTTGGATAATGTACTGAGGCCGGTGTCAATCCCCTACCTTCAGCGGCTGCCTAATGCAATTTTTCAGCAGGATAACGCCCGAGCACACAGTGCTTGCATCTGCCAACATGCTCTGCAAGATACAGATGCTTCCCGTACAGATGATACAGATGCTTCCCGTACAGATGATACAGATGCTTCCGTACAGATGATACAGATGCTTCCCGTACAAGATACAGATGGCCACCGTACTCTCCTGACCTGTCACCAATCGAACATGTGTGGGATGTGATTGGACGCCGTTTGCAGACTCTGCCCCAGCCTCGTTCAGAAGACGAATTGTGGCAAATGGTTGAAAGGGAATGGATAGCCATCCCTCAAGACACCATCCGCACTCTTATTGACCCTATGCCTAGACATGTTTCTTCGTGCATCGCTGTCCGCGGTGGTCCTACAAATGTACCCTTTATTTATCTATTTATTTTATTTTTTGAGCCCTTGTCTGGCCATGTATTTGTTGAACTTTGACTCAATAAATACTAGGCCGGGCGGTGGTGTGAACATGCTTCTGGGGCTTCTTTGGTCTTTTGGCTGTCACCTGATGGCCTGGTCGCTGGGTTTCGGTGTATGGTGCGAGGCGCCTGTGTGGCCCATCTGGCTCAAGATAGAGGTGGACGTGTTGCATATGCCAATCAACCATTACGGTAAAGGGATGGTGCACACGTGCCCCGTCAACTATCAACTATCCTACTGATCCGAAGCAGTTCTCGCTCTGTATTCTGACAATCATTTTGAAATAAAGATCACATATTGCTGCTTGCTGTCTATGTCTTTTCTCCAAATTTCATTACTTTCTGACCACTCCTTCTTGGTGTTGCATTTTCAATATCCAGCAGTGTATTATATACAGTAGCTTTAGATATTGAAAAACAATGGTTTTCACAGCGTTTTTTAATAACTAGATGAGAATAAATTCTTCGGAAAAAGTTCAAGTCTGGCCTTCCACCCATAGCTTCTTTCAAAGCGCCTTTTTGCATGAAAACAAAATTGTGAAGGAGCAAGTGATAATTTTCTAAAACATAGTGGCAGTTAAAAACGTTAGCATGAAGGCGAATCTTTTTATATTATTTTCGTTTACTGAATGGCGGCTTCTAAGGCTAGAAGTAATGACTGGCCACTTCTAAGGCCAGACTTGATGATTGGCCACTTCTAAGGTCAGAAGTGATGACTGGCCACTTCTAAGGCCAGAAGTGTTGACTGGCAACTTTTAAGGCCAGAAGTGATGACTGTCCACTTCTAAGGCCAGAAGTGATGACTTGGCCACTTCTAAGGCCAGAAGTGATGACGTGACCACTTCTAAGGCCAGAAGTGATGACTTGGCCACTTCTAAGGCCAGAAGTGATGACTTGACCACTTCTAAGATCATAAATGGAGGCACCTAAGAAGCGGCCACCGTTACCTCCTATGAGGGGACAGACACTCTTACACCCATGTCTTCTTCGGGATGTGAACCATCGGCTCCACTAATCACTATACTGTCTGGGTGGCACCATTCTTCTTATAACGAGCAAGCAAAATCGCCTAAAATATGTGCGCATAACCTCCGTAGTTAACATTTCAAGAATTTATTTCCAAACAAAAGAAACCATAACTACCTTCACAATTGCGGAAGGACATTTGGTCTTAAAGGATCTTTCCTTTTTCATGGACTCTGATATCTGTCGCAAGTACTACGAGATTATCAAAGTACCATCCCACTAACTACTCGGAGCAATGCGAATATGTTTGAAAAGTGCACTTTTAACTCTCAAGAGTTTATCAGAATTCCACAATTATACAAAATTGTATGCAGATGAGTTAGTTCGTCATATCATTAACCATTTTTTCTTAGTTATAAAACTCTTGTACATCCAGCAGACATCGAATCATTAGACTATCTCTTATTTCGTTCATCGAACAACCATCAAGGAGTGTATAATGAAACGAATTTTCTTGCCATTCTAAAGCATTCTATCGTTGGTTGTAGAGTTCTTAATACATTATATTTAAATCTCCTCACAAGCGAGTTTATTGATTTTTAATTCTAGCACATTTATGCCATGAACGCGTTTCGAAATTTTAGTCTTATTCCGACTGAAGTTTTTGGAAATTTTCGAGTATTTTTAACCTTTAGAAAACCGAAGCAGTCGCTAACCTTTGTGCTTAAAATACCGAAACACCCGTCCCCGTCCATTACTTGTCATTTTCTCTGAAGAGCACTGGACTATGCCCATGAATGTTTTAAAACGACAGCTGAAAGTAGGAAAAAAAAAAAAAAAAACTGCTACGCAGAACTTACCATTTTATTTCAGCTCCGACTATGAGTAATACTTTGAGTGCTATTCGCTCATGTAGCATGCAGTCTTCCACTGCGATAGCCACAATGAAACCCCCGATGAACATAACGAAGCTTTCCTTAAAAAAATAATTAAAATAAATAAACGGATTATAAGGATTTATTTAGTTTTATCTACAAGTTATTTCGTGTTAGTTACCTTTGCTCTCTTTCTCGCTTTCCATTTTCCTACCAGAATGTCACGCCGATCTTAGAATCGAGCCAATTTGTGGCTTTCTCTGTCTGCATCGTTGGCCTAATTTACATTTTACTTAGTTAAGTTATATGTTATTTTCCCCCGAATACCTATGTGGTGTAACTGGAAGCATACTCGACGCGCATTCGAGAGGTCCAGGGTTCGAGTCCCAGCGAAGGTACTACACATTTTTCAGGTCTCCTGCTGCTTCAAACAACTAACGATTCTCACAGATTCATTATTTTTTTATTTTAAGCCATAAATACTGGTTGCTCTATAAGCGCGAGAAGTGCTCCCTGTTAAATTTTATTTGAGTTAAAGGATCTTTTGCATCATTTCTCAGTCTGCCTTGTAATTGACAAGACCTAGCGACAAGTCGTAGAGTTCTCGATCTAATTTACGCCACTAAAGAAGATGAAATTCTGTAGGATAAA